TTTTTTCTAATAATCCCATCACTCAGAAAGAACAGTTGCTAACATTTTGATATATAACTTTGCAGGGTTTACATCTATTTTATTTTTGCAAAACTGCCCATATTGTACACGCTATTTATAAACTTTTTGCTACCTAGCAGTGTGTTAATCTTATATTATTAACCAGTGTTAATTTCCTGGCAGAGGCAAACACGAGCTTGGAGATTCCTTTGGAGCTCCTGACCATGGAGAGGGCTCAAAGTTTCGGATGGAAAGCTTTTTAAAATGTGTTTCTTGGTGCTGTTCACACTTCAGGCATCCTTCTGACCCCACTCTGCACCCTTCTTTCTGGCCTCACCTGTGTATCTACACCCCACGGTGACCTTCCTGGTATTTCTGACCCCAAGTTAATCTCCAGCTCAAGGATCATCCAACAGTGGGGAGCTTAGAGTGCTGTCATGTACCTTGGGACAGTGGGTTCTGGCTTGGAAGCAGCAGAGCATGTGGGCACAAAGCTGTAGGAGAGGTGGAAGAACATTTTAAGACGAGTGTTACTGGAAACTTGTAGGTAGAACGGTCAGGGGCAATGGGCCATGCAGACAGTCAGAGTTCACTGAGGGTGGTCAGACTGCAGATTTGGGCTGACCTCGTGCGGGAAGACGGGTCACAGGCCAGTCTTTCTCTCACTGACACCAGCAACAGATGGTCACACCATCTCAGGCCAACTTTGAGTAACAAATGAGCCACAGTTGCTGTGGATGGGAAAGGGAACAATGAAATTTGGTTGTGCAGAGTTCTGTTGGCAAAAATGCTGTTAAAAAAAAAAAAAGCAAAACTACACCTTGGGGTTTGTCTGGGTTTTGCTTTGTTTTGCAGTAATCCTGTAAGGGTCACTTTTGTATGTAGACAAAGGAGTCCCGCCTAAGGGGAAGCCAGGTGACTTGTCTGAGTGTTGCATAGCAAGTAAGGATGCGGAGCAGAACCGCGGTCCCTCTGTAGATGCCTGCTGTCTGATGTTGTTGGGTTTTTTTATTGTGGTAAAAGTACATTCACATTGTTGTGCAATCATCACCATCATTCATCTTCAGAACTTTTTTATTTTCCCAAACCGAAACTCTACCCATTAAACACTAACTTGCCATTCCTCCCTCCTCCAGCCCCTGGCAACCACCATTCATTCTACTTTCTGTCTCTATGAATTTGACTTCTCTAGAATTTGACCACTTTACATAAGTGCAACCGTACAGTATTTATCTTTTTGTGATTGGCTTATTTCATCAGCATAATGTCCTCAGGGTTCATCCGTGCTGTAGCATGTGACAGAACTTCCTTCCTTTTTAAGGCCGAGTAATGTTTCATTGCATGTATGTGCCACATTTTGGTTATCCATTTATCCACTGATGGCCCCTTGGGCTGCCTCTACGTTGGGCTTGTGTGAATAATGCTGCTGTGAACGTAGCTCTACAGATACCTCTTCAAGACCCTGCTTTCAATTCTTTTGGGAATATACACAGAGTGGGATTGCTGGGTTGGTACCTGGATTTTGAAGTGAGCTCAGTTTTTAGAAAAGCAGGCAGGATATAAATGATGAAAACAACTCTCCTAACTCCATTTTAGAGTCCTATTTTCAAGTTGCTAAATTGCACCAATTCAGTAGGTTTTCTGTGCAATGATGATCTAATGTAACAGATACTTCTAAAATGTGTTTTTTGTTTATTGACTTGAATATGTTTCTTATAAAGTTTTACACCAGCACTATTTCATCATAATTATCCAAACAAGGGCAGTCTCTCTGCACCACTGTTTGTTTTCTGATACTTTATCACATAGCAAGCTGTCAGATTTCCTTTAAGATGTGCTGCTACAGTTTGGAAATTCAAATTTTGGAAATTATTTTTATTTTCTAAATCTTGCCTTAGTTTGAAAAACTAAAATCCATATTTCTCCCAAAGCTTAACCAGGAACAGTTAAGAAACTCAAGCCCAGAAAAAAGTTGTTCTGTTTTGAAGGAACCCTGGGAAAATGCTTCCTTGTTCAAAACCAGATTCCTTTTGACTTTGCTTATAGTGTGTATATACCTTCTACTGCAGTCTGTATACCATCTGAGGCAGGATTATTGGACTAGTTCTCTTATCATGTTAAAACAAGATTTTCTTGGCACTGGGAGGATAAGCTCTGCAGTGACACCTTCTGGCCACCAGACGGCAGTCTGTCCACAGGCAGCTCACCTCCACCCAGGACTGCTCCTTCTAGCCCATTTGTTTTGGTACTTGTGACTGCAGCAGGATTTTGGACACTCTTGTTTCATTAATATCTTATCTGGGCTCAAGTATTTCACAGGATGATCTCTTATTAAATCTCATTTAAATGAAGCATAAACAAATTATTCAAAGTAAAAATTATCCCACATAAAAGTAATTTAAATTACTTAAAAATATTTAGCACAGTATGTACATGTGGAGCTTGTTAGCTCCTTCACTAGGCTGTATGGAAACAAGCCAGCCATGCTGTTTATCTGATTGAAATGCCTGAAAGTGTGTTCATTAGCGACTGGCTGAGGTTTCATGACTCGTGCTCACCATGGCTGCCTGCCCTTACCCGGATCCCAGCCTCCCCGCCCCTCCGCTTTCCTGCTCCTATCACCTGTCGTCACAGTCTCTGATCACTTAGTGCAGTGATTCACCAGGAGCAGGCTATGTGGAACTTGGGACACCATGTGGGACAGGGTGGTGCGGCGTTAGTTTGAGGCCTGAAAACATCAGGGTCCGTGTGTATGCGGTCCAGAACTGGGACCCTCAAGAGTTCAGGGGTCAGGATCAGGAGGCCTAAGGCCCCATTTGGGACAGGGCTTGTCAGCGTTCAGCTTCACTAACAGGAAGTGGTGACCAGTGTGTCCTGTC